AGTAACTTTATTCATAAGAATTGTGAAAAATCGTGTGATTTCATTTTAATACGCAGGGTGAGAATATATAAACGATAGAGGGTGTTTCAGAGTTCCATGAAACAAAAACAAATTAATGTATTTGCAATTCGGAGATACTCACTCCAAGTCTTCAGGCCATTACAATCTCCCTTTTTCAAATTCGCTTAGACCAACTGCCTTTCCCCTCACTCACAAAAGTAAGTTCAAGAATGATAGCTTATCTTCTACAGCAACAGTTAAATACCATTATTACGTAATCATATGGTTTTCATGACATCAAGGCAAGTTCAGTGAAAAATGTGGAGGTTTCCATGATGTTTGAGCTCGATGGTGTATGTTAGATCTTTCAAGGATAAGAAACAACAAGACAAACTATAACAAGTAACTGTCTTTAATTTTAAATACTTGTTACATCATTTATTGAAACACATATACATTAGAACATTGAAACATATATGCGTGTCACATATACATTAGAAACCTTATTGAACTAAACATTAAACATTTTTTTTTACAATAATATACAATTTTTTCCCTTTAATATTTTCAACAATATCTTTATTCAAGTTAGAGTTGAAAATATCACGAAATAAAATATAATTTCTCATGATAAACATCTTTGATTAATTTGAGTCGATTTTTCAGCAACACAAAAGCTAAGGTATTATTACCAAACTTCACCTTTAAGCTCCAATTTTAAGTAAATTTAACAATATGATTATCTTTGATGGAATACAACATATATAAAAAAGAATGGCTCTTTAAAGTGTTATTCTATATTTTATCGTTCACACGCACTTCATAGATAATTATAATCCTGAATTATACACCGGAACTGTACTTATTGGGCTTCGAATTCATTTATTATAATTAAATACGATATTCGAATCATTTTCTGATATAATCCAGACTCTACTTAAATTCTCAAGAGAAACTAAGTAAATCATACAAGATTCTCACGTACTCTTTATTAACCCATGGGATTTCTGTTTGTTGATTGTTTGATTTGACAATCTCTCCCATGAAGGAAAATATTAATATGATAATTGAGATATCTATTTAAAGGAATGAGATTGTGAATGTCTGTGGATGATATGGCATTTGTAATATTCATTCGGGATAAAATGCTTTTGAGATCATTGAGTGAGTGAATAATAACGTCGCACTATTTAGCTACACGAGGGCTTTTGGTGACGGACCACGTAATTTTGAACCATGGTCAAATGACGTGGATGACAACTCTCTATATATAAGGTGGCTCCCCACTCTCCTAACTACCATACCACACCAAAGGGAGGACGTTTCAGCTCTCAAAAAATTTAACGGGCATCGCTGCCCTACACGGCGGGTCTTTAGTGGTACTGGGCTCGAACTCATGGCATGCCTGCCATGATCCGATACCTTGACCACCTACCACAGCCCGCTTTTTAGATCAGAGTCTGAGAGATAGGAAAGAAACACGCGTACATGAAATTAAACTTTAAATGTGGATATTGTTGAAAACTGTCAATATTCCAGTTCCACTTAATTTTATTCAAAAACCTGAGTGTGTGTGTGTACGATTTGGAAAGCACGTTGACAGTTATATGCGATAAATCATGTAAAAAAATAACTTAGCATTATTTTTGGAGGGTAAATTATCTTTATATTTTGATTATTAAATGTTGTTAGTGATAAAATTTATATTGTTACTTATAGAGATATTTACCATTTTAGAGGTTCCTATAAAGATGTGATTTATCTATATATAATTGATGTAAATACTTCACATATGTTGTCATTTAAGATATCAATGTTTGACGATGCATTTGAAAACTCTTAGGATATATGCCAGAATATTCGAAAACATTGTACGTTGTCAAAAGATTGCAAACATCATTTTTAAGCATAAGTGCTCAATATTATAACCTGTATTTTGCTTACGTAACCTATGGCGACACTACTTTAAAATTGGGGTTTTATTAAAAAAATTAAAACAAAAAGAATTATACATTTAACCCTTTAACGGGCACAAGGCTAAAATACACTTTTCTGTGATAAAGTACTTCATAAATGTAATGTTCTCATCCTCTATAAACATTATTTAGTCACACAAAAATATCTGATCAGGGGTCTTATTCCTAGATGGTGGCTAAACGCCACCACCAGCCGCTGCGCATTTACGACATTTAACTTAATTTTCAGGACAGAAAAAATGAATCATTTTACAATAAACTTTTTTATGAAAAATTAACATTTATGCTAATATTCAATAAAAATTAAATACACAGTATAAGAGTGTAATTAAATAATAATAGAATAATTGTACAACATAGAATACTTAGAAAATACAATACATAGAATACTTAGAATATACAATACATATAATAATTAGAATATACAATACATAGAATACTTAGAATATACAATACATAGAATACTTAGAATATACATAGAGTACTTAGAATATACATTGAAATTGGTATATATTCACATTTTATATTTTGCTTAATTTTAGTATAAATAGTTAGAAATAAAGTAATAAGCTGAAAAAGATTAGGAGTCCAGTTGATTTTCAGAGTATTTCTGGCACATTTTATTTTTCATTCCTACTATTAGTTCACTCTCTCCCTACATACATTTCTTTGTCCTAAATTTCATACAGACACAGTCAAGCTTAGGACAGATACTAATGGATTTATTACAAATATCAGCAAACCAGACAATATATATATTTTCCATGAAATATTACAAGATACACAAAAAATCTTAAATCCCCAGCCATACTTAAAAATAGTGAAGAACGTATTGAACAATTTAAAAATAACAGATTTCTTCAGTCTATAGTTTAGATTTTGAAGATCTTTTTAACTCTATTAAAATGCATGATATGATTAATATACTTTAAAATTAAATAAAGATAATTTATCTTAAAATGTCAATTATGATTGATTTGGCTCTCTACTTAGGTTTGTACTTACATAGAAATATATATGGTATGGTATAATATAATGGTAACTTTTATCAATAGATTAAAGGTTTGCCTCAAGGTGGCCTTGCTAACTGCGGACTTGCCAATTTATTTTTACATTATTTTGAAAATAGTTTCATTAATAATTCTGAATATTACATTTTTCGTTATATAGATTATATTATCATCTTTGGCAAGCAAAACAACTTTAAACCTAACACTCATTTTTTATCCACAATATCTTAATTTAATACAGACAAATAGTGTTGTGTTGTGACTAATGCCACCTGCCTGACGAAGTTAGATCGAAGCTCGCGAAATTCCCCGTGCCTAAGGGCTGAAATTTTTACGCCTGCCGTTAGCCTTAGCTTTGAGCACCATGCAGGTGACAGTACGATACTTCTCGGTTCCACCTCTAGTTAAGAGGGAGTAAACCCTGGGGGTGGCTCAGCATTTTTGAATTCAATTTTTAGGTAAGTTACCTTTATCTTGTAATGGATTTAAATATTCTATCCATTATTTTCAACAGGTTCTTGCTCAGTGTTATTAACACAAAAGAGGAAGGTTGGCTGGCCATAAAACATGTTCAACCCCACCTCTATAGAAATTATTTTATATATAAGCTGTCTTAATTTAGCAATGTTTATAATACTATAGCATTTTTTTTTTATATTTTAAACAATATTGTATATATATATATATATATATATATAAGAGTGAAAATAAGAGCGAAAAAGTTCTAAATCCTACGAAGCCAAAGAAGAAAGAAATTGGAGTACACGAGACACAACAGGTGTAGATACAACAAAGTCCTTCGACTTAACTGGAGAACTATTACGATTTCTAAAGTTGTTACTGAATTAAACCAGCGATTTAGGGTTAAGCAATGCTTTATGGATCCACCTTTCCTGTACAGCAGAAATTTTCGACATAATAGAAAAAAAGACAAATAGAGCAATGTTGAAAAGTTAAGCCTATTTCTAACACGTGGAAGATAAACCTGACAATATAGTAAAATGAAATTATGAAAAGAGAACAATAATGAATCTCTCAAGGAGAGGAATAATAAAAAAGATTTTTCTATAGAAAAATTAGGATAAAAACTTACATGTAAAAATAAAAACCTTGGATACAAAATATCAACCTTCTATGCTAAGATACCACACGAAATGACGTTAAATATTGGAACATAAACACAAGATAGAAAAAACGTGGCGCCACCTAGATGGTTATTTTTCAATTAAATTAACCAATATTTATATATGTAACATCGTGGCCTGTGTTGTTGTATTCGAAAAAAGTTGAGAACTTCAGATTGCATTTTATTCTTTAATTTCACATGAACATCAAAAGCGTTATGACTTCATAAAAGCATAAGTTTACACAAAGACACATATTCAAGACGACGAGCTAGGGACAAAAACTGCGACGATTACATGGCAAAAGTAAAACAGACAAAGAACGACAAGTAGCAGTGACATCCTATGTGACAAAACACAAAGATAAAGAGAGCGATAACACAAAATTTTCACTTTACATGCCGGCAGTGACAATCGCATGACTATTATGTAATAGTAGCTCTGATTGGTTAAAATAGGCGGAACAGGTATTTTGGATACTAGTTGACCACGATTAAGTTTAAAGCGTTAGTTTTGAACCAAATAATTAAAGTTTGTTTAAATGTTATTAGAAAGAGTTAATTAAAAAGATGCTAGGAAATTATATATTATATATATATATTTTATATTAAGTGGGATTTTTATATAATTTTATATATATATATATATATATATATATATATAATATTTAATTATATATACATTTATCTTGTTCAAGTTTTCAATCATTAAGAAAATAATTTCTTCCATACATTCAAATTTAAATACCTTTTTTTAAACTTGTAGTGGATGACACCTTGATGTTAATATATTTTTTCAAATATTAATTCATTAATTAAATTAAAAATGAACAAATAGTAACAAACAAAATTAATAGTCCAGCATATATAGAAAGGAAATTGGTTCGTCGTGTCCCTGTAGAGCAATGGATAGCTTTCGGACATCTAATCCAAATACCGTGGGTTCGAATCCTACCAGGGATGTCTTAACATCTGAGTATGTGACTTTTTTTTTAATCTACCATTTTATTAGAATAACTAAATTTAATTTAAGAATAAATAGCAACAAACAAACAAAAAAGTAGTCCAACACCCTATATAAAAAAAAAAATGGAAAATCGCTTTCTATTTTTACACATAATATTGAGACTGTGTCAAATGTATAAACATATTTATATTAATTGTAACTTTTAATAAAATTAACAAAAAAAAAAAGGTTTCTTTATTGCCCTGTAGGAATTGAAATTATTTTTTTATATTATTGTTTAAATTTTTGAACAAAAAAAGGATAAGATTTAAACCCTTAAACCCCCATAAACTTTGGGAGTCTTAAGGTTTGGAAGACGCACTAAATTGTTGTTTCCCAATAAATACCATGACTAGTAAGGAATTGTGTAATTTTATAAGTTGTAAAACGGATCAAACAAAACAGTTTTTGCGAAAGAGTCGGAAAAAGTTTGTCAGAAAATAGTGAATCGATTACGTGTGCTGAGTATTCCAAAAAGTGTCAGTCTTTTTATTGTAAAATTATTTTTGAATGTTTACTGATAAAACTAAAATATTGTTTTTAATTTAAATAAAAACTGTGCTGAGTTATAGAAGTTCTTGGAATATTCTTTTAGCATTTTTTGAATTTCCCAGCTCATTTCAAAAGAAGGCACTGGTCCTTCTTTGAAACTAAAAAAACAAAAAAGAGATATATATTCTCAATCTCACAAAATAACAGCAATTCCTACAAAGCTTGAAAGAAAATGTTCTATATCAAATCCTTGCAACCGACTGAAGAGTGAAACTCAATCAGCAGGAAAATGTTCTTTTCATTTTGAACTTCCTTCAACTTGGAAATATAACTCAAAATGTGTTCCCAGAAAAGATTTGGTGATTGGAAAGAAAGTAAAATGTCAGAGGAACAAGTTTTTTTTTGGGTGTTTAGTCTACTTAAAAGAAAAAGATTGGACAAAAGAGTTAGAACCAAATTTACAAAATTCTTAAACATTTATTTTTGCCTTCTTAAAGTTTAAAGTCTAATTTGAAATACTGTATATGTGTTTTACAAAAAAATCTTAAAAATATTCTTACAAAAAAAAAAACCATTTTCCCTATGAGTTAAAAATTTAAAAATAGACCACACATTACATAATGTTCCATTCCTCTATTAAAATAAAACAGCTACTATAAACAAAATTCCTAGATTATTTACGTTATTTTGTCTCTACGGAAATTTAATTATATATCCATTTCTAAGATTAAATTTATTTCCTGGAGTTTGGTAACATATTAATATTTTATTATATAAATGATTACCAGTTATCTTTTCTAAATGAAAGATATTTATAGAAATATATTTGAAGAGTCTACATATATGAAAAAAAGACAAACAATGTTTAAATTAGTCGTAATTGTAGCTTAAAAGCTGGAATATAGCTGCATAAAACAGTTATAAACAAGAAAGTTTTAAGTTAAAGCAGAGAATTAATAAGCAACATAATACATTAATCATTCTAAGTTAACTTATAGGGGATTGATCATTGTCAATTTTTAATTCATTCATAAAAATAAAATACATATTCTTGCGGCATGATACCCATTGGATTGAATAAAAACTTTTTTGAACTTTAAAAATCTTATTTTAAGTATCTTTATACAAAAAATTATAATTTAATATTAATACATTATTATAAATGAGATAATTATATTCCCAAATAAATAAAGTATACAATTGTGTGTGTTTTTTTTAATTTTCCTGCGTTTATGCCTATGAACATTCCAAACTGAACGCAAAATCAAATAACTGGATTGAAATAATATTAGTTCTGATTTTGAATTTTTCTTTAAGGTATCCGACTACGTTCGGAACCCTGATTATAAAAAGGCACATAAATGGATAATTCTCGGAATAATGGATATTTATGTCAGTTAGAAAAAGTATAAAATTTTTTTAAAGGGCCCATTTTGAAAAAAAAATTTTTTTTAAATACAACACATTTCGGCTAAAAATTAACTTTGAAAAGCCTTTTCAAAAAGTTTTTTTTTTAAAAAGCTTTTATTTAATAATATTTTGCTTGTATAAGCCCGACCCTGTACAGAAGTCAACTAGATTTGTGAAAAAAATTCACATTATTATCAGGTTTCAACCATTTGAAATTATCGACGTTTTTTTTTTAAAAATTTTTCCCCTGTTGTCGTAAAACATGGATAAACCCATTTTTAAGTTTTATATTTCAAAAATTTAGTTGACCTCTGTACGAGGTTAGTTATATACAGGCAAAATATTATATAAAAGAAGCATTTTTCACAAAAGGAGAATATTTTGAAATTGGATCATTCTGTGTTCATGTTTTGTCAAAATATGGTACTTAAATAATATTTGATTGTAATACTATTCTTAAAACAATTTTATATACATTTTCTATTCTAAGTGAGACTAAATATCATAAATATTATCCATTTATACGCTTTTGCAACATCACGGTTAAGAACGTAGTCGGAAACCTTAAATACGTAATGCAGATACACTAATGTTTCTAATAAAACAAGATTATTTAACAAAACGCGTATTTAAGTTTTAAAATTCATGCAATTGATATCCAGCAATTATTCTATTAATTGAAAATTTTGATATGAAGTCTTTTTTTTTAAACAAAGAGCAATTTTTTTAACCCTTTTAATTGCCATTGGCGTTTATATACGTCTTTCTGAAACAGAATGCTTTTCATTGAACTCTGCTATCAATAAAACTACTTGAAAGGTTTTGGAATGCAAGAAAATAAACTTGACAGTGTGTTTGTGAAGAATTTGATTATTTAAGAGAGGGTTTGCTTATTTGTATCTTTTCTTTTACCTCAGTACTCCGCATACTAGAACCTATAAAAATCGACAACACTGAGGAGCAAATCAGGTAAAGCATATTTGAACCCCATTATAGCGTTATTCAGTATCATAATGTTTTGTTCATCATTGATCTCTAATAATAAATAGCTTGTTTGTATTTCTAAGCATTGTGATATCATATTCTTATTTTTCATTTTATTAAATCCACACATTTTTTTGTATGACGTCACGATTTCCTGTTAAGAGTAACCATTATTATTTTTTTCTCTTTAATTTGGATTCTATGTGTCTCCATTTCTATAAAATTGATGTATTCCGGTTTCGAGTTTTTGTACTTTTATTTTTCTGTGTTTAATTTTTTTCCTTGGAATACAGTGGTGGCCAAAATTGTGGACACGTTTTTAACTTGTTATGTTTTTAAGTTTGTATGCTTATAGAAAATTTTGCGTTGCACAGAATGCTATGTAATTTATATATTTTTTAAAGACATTTTACTATTAAATTCAATACAAAAAAAGAAAATTCAAATATTTTCAAAACAAAAAAGTAAAGCTGCAATAAATATCGATATACATTAGTTACTGATGATAGCAGTGAGTTATCAGAGCTTAGTGAAGTTGCATTTATTCTTTATTACAGCTTCACATCGATTTTTCATTGAGCTGAGAATAATTTTAAGCTCTTTCTTCGCTATTACATGATGCCAGGAAACAATTATATCCTCAATTTAAATTTTTTCCCCATGTGTCCCCTTCATTCAGACAAGAGTTTTAAAAACGGTGCCACAAGTTTTCGATAGGATCGTAGTCGGGACTTTTTCCCCGGCCCAGGAAAACCCTCAATGATCTCAGAATAGTGGAAAATAGTGCAGAAAATGCAAATTTTACTAAAAAAATAAATAAAGCTTAGGGGGTAAAAAAAGTTTCCCCGGATGGGGCAGAATTTGGGGTTCTAGAATGGTGTCAGTGTTTTTTATGATTTTTTGGTCCCATCGATGATATGAAGGCGATCCATCCCCACCCGCGGGATATGCGTGACTAAATGTTTGGTTATGTGGGAAATTTACTTTTGCTTGAATGCAGCCCGGATGTAGCATTTCTGATTTCCCTACTTTTCTTACATATTTTAAGCTATCCCCCGCCGAATAACAATACTTTAGTTTCGTACACCCTATAATTTTGTAACCAATAACCTTTAACCAATAAATGTGTTCCATGGCCCAAAGAACCCCTTTTTTAGTCCCGGGTGTAAATTGGGGAAAGGTTTTTTTCGTGAAATTCTACCTTTTTTGTCTTACATCTGCTAATCTACCCCGTTTTTTTGAACAGACAAAAACACCAGCATCACTCAGCCCCCCCTTCTGATGAATGTCCATGAATTTTTTTTTTCCCTGAACATAGTATTTTTGTTTTCCCTTCATAAACCAGATGTGGGGAACCTTTTTTTCCCTTTTTCCTGCTTTGTTTTTTATTAAATTTGCCTCCTCACATCTTGAACAGTCTCCAGATGTAGACATTGAACTGCCCACCTGTTATGTAAATTTAACAAAGAAAATACCCTTTTCTCATCACACATGTGTCCAATCTACAGTTTTATTTAATTTCCTTGCTTTTTGACTAAATATCATTTTTATCCGGGTCAAAACTCCCCCCTTACCTCAATCTTTATAAAAAAACTTGGGGCCCGTTTAAAAACTTTTGTCCGAATGAATTTACCTATAAAAAAAAAAAGGGGAAAACAAATTTTTGAGGATATATTTGTTTCCTGGCATCATGTAATAACGACGGAAGAGCTTAAAATTCATTTAAGCTCAATGAAACATCTATTTAAAGCTGTAATAAAGAATAACTGCAACCTCACTAAGCTCTGATAATACACTGCTACCATCAGTATCCAATGTGTATCTGCAGTTATTGCAACATAATCTTTTTTGTTTTGCAAATATTTGAATTTTCTTTTTTGTGTGGAATTCAGTATTAAGTTATCGTTAAAATGTTGTAAATACTTAACATTCTGAGCAACGTAACATTTTCTACAAGGATGGAAACTCAAAATACATAACAAGTTAAAAAGGTTTCCACAATTTTGGCCACCACTGTATATGAAACTCCACGCTGTAGAGTATCTCAAACCATTTATCAGTAACTTAAAAA